AAAACACTGACACCTAATATTTCAACATGTAGCACTGTGCAGGACTGAGAAGAGAACACACACGTACATCTTAGTAATTCATTACTACCATTTGTTCTTGAGGTCCTAACGGTGAATACATGATTAAAGTTATTCTACATCTACAAACGTAGAGTCTGAAATGGAGGATTTTACATCACAGTGTGAAATGTCACATTAGCCTGTTGGCTGACACACCAGGACTGAGTCTCAAGATCCATCTCTGGAGCCTGGAAAAAGATTGAGTACTTTTTTTTTTTTTCAATAAAAACATATGAAATTCTTTGCTTGTATCACACACTAATCTGTGAAGAAACTACAGGAGGGAGGAAGGGCCAGCTGTTCTCTGTTTCTAAGCCAACCTTTAAAACCATCATCTAAACCAAGTCAGGCTGCCTGACTGCACCACGTGATTTAATGAACTGCACTGCATGCTACTGAATTCCACTGAAGCCAAATATGGCCTGCAAATTGCCATTTTTTTCCCCAACATTAAGACTGACCCGCAACTGGAAGAAAAGTCCCTGAACAAGAGCAACTGTAACTGATCACTTCGTTGAGCTGTCTCAGCTACACCCCCCCTCCATGACCCTCTGCTGCCTACAGCCTCCTGTTGTTATTCCGGCTTCTCCACCCTGTGTTGTCAAAGTATGGCCTGTAAATCAGTCCTGCCTGCTGCCCTGCCAGGGTAAGAAGAAGAAGAAGAAGAACCAGCGACTGCCAGAGTGAAGAGGTGGCGTCTTTTCCACAGAGAGAGTGGGACAAAGAAAGAGCAACAACCAGGGTTAACATGGGTTTGGTTGTTTGACATGGAGAGGGTTAAAAGCAGCCAGAGGACTCAGACTGGATCCAGATGTGGCCTTCTTCCTTCTGGATGTGTTAGTATCTAAAGCTAACCTGTTTGTTTTGGTAGCATTAGCCAGCTAGCATGGTCAGGATTTTACCTTTGTGTTGAATTAATATGATTTTAATTTGGGAGGAACTGGAGCTTTGTGTAACGTCAGCTGTAACGAGAGCTTTTACTGGACTGGCACATTTACTGTTAGTCAGCTAATGCTAGCTTCAGAATGGAGGCTGCAGTTTGTCCCAGCCAGGCGTCAGTAGTTTACATAGCAGCTTGAGCAAACAGGACATGGTGAGAGGGACAAAGAGTGGATAGGAGGCTTGTTCTGAGTCTCACTAGACCCTCCAGGCTGAAAAGTCACTAGGCAGAGTAGCTTTAACTGTGATTAACTGGACATTTTTCATTTCTTTTCTAGTATGAGTTGGAAGTGTTTTTTGGCAGTAAATAAAACAAGTTTGCCCTGGAGCTGTTATACACAGTTCGGCACCACTTCCAAACAGCCCCGTCATATCACAATCATTAAAAGGGCCAACAGCCAGGGTAGAGGTGAAATGAAGGAGGCCAACAAACATTTCTCTGAAAACCATAACTGTCAACATTTTTGATACTAACTAGAAGTCAGAGGATCAGCTTAATCAGTAAGATTTATCCACTGGACCAGAGGAATGTCTGTGCAACAACGTCACGGCAATTCATTCTGTAGGTGTTGAGCAATTTCACTAAGTACCAACAGATTAACATTATAATAAAGGAATAAAGCTACTCACACATCCAGAGGTAGTACATGACCTTGACTGTCTTCTGAAACTCTACAGGAATGTCCACAGCAATGTCATGGTAGAAACAGGGGCTCACAGGGAACTTCTCTGGGAGTGGAGGCCAGTTGTTCTTCCTGCCTGAGAGGGGACAAAACAAGAGCAGCTTGTGACTACTACAGAGTTCATATTCTACTTGATGCTTTTTTGGGCTGATTATTAATAACCAAACATGTTATGGTTAAAAAATAAGATCAGGGATAAGGGAGAAATCTGTTTACTGCATGTAAATGTGTTTTACAGTAACCATGTTACTACAGTGCATGTACGGCATTGTCTCATTTCCTGTATAGATTCTTGTGTGCATGTTAATGTAGTCACAGAAGAAGTAGATCTTTAGACACGACACACTCGGTACACATGGCTAGCAGTGAGTTTGCCCAGGCTTTGTAGAAAAGCTCTGGAAATTTAAAGGAAATGTTTGGCATTTTGATAAATATGGTGAGAGATGAGGAGCTTAGCTTAGCATAAAGCAGTGATTTCACTCTGCTGGTTGCCTGGGAGCTTATGGTGACAAAAAGACAAGTGGAGGTCAGTGCACCCAGCCAAGAAATAATTACAGCCAGCCACTCCCTGTAAAACCACAGCCTACCATTTATACATTTCAGTCTAGTACACTTTAAACAAACAATACACATGTCGAGTAGTATAACTGGTAGGTGAATTTCTTTACCTTTAGACATAGCCAGAATGTTTCCGCCTTCTTCAACTATCTAGACTAAGCTAAGCTTCTTCTGGTTTCATTTTCAGCATACAGGCATGAAAGCGGTATTGACCTTCTCGCCTAACTCTTGGAAAGAGTTGAATTATTCCTTTAAATTAAGATACGTGTCAAGTGTGTGCAGTCATGAAACGTGTGCTGTCATGAAATATGTCCCGTGGTTTAACCAAATCGAGTTCTGGTCTCAACAGCAGAAAACGTTGTTTCCTGGTGAAACAGAACTGATGTGAGCTGTGTGTTGGCGCCTGGTGCTGACCCCCTGAGACGTTGAGTGACTGCATTTCCCTCTCCCGACGGTCCAGCTCTGCAGCCTTCCTCTCCAACTCCTCCTGACGCCTCAGCAGCTCGGCAGTCGCTTGCGTCTGCTCCTACATGTACAAAGGAAACATGTCAACACACCAGTAATACAAGAGAGTGTGCCAGACCGCTTGGCTGACTCCCAGCCCCCCCCCACCAGATCATCAGAAATTCTGTTTCTACTTTTGGAAAATATCCAATTCTCTCTACAGGTTCAGTCCCAGCAGGAGCAGAGACATCACAACAGCATGCTCCCAGCAGTCTGCCTACAAATGAGATGCACCAGCTCAAGTTATTTCCTCTGCTTGCCTGGATTTCTCTCTGACTCCCCCTTTCCAGCCACCTGGTGAGCTGCTCTCCTGCCCACAAACTCAGCATGAACCAGCTGTCATGTTAATACATTCACTATCTTCAGTGCACTGCCAGAATCTCTGCTGGTGATGCTGGACTAAACCATTAGAAATGTTATAGTCTACTTGCTTATATGGTGTAGAGCAGACACAATATCAGCATGTGTCTGTTAAACCTGTCATTTGTCAATGGAGCATAACGCTACAGAAAGAGCAGTAGTTTTTCTGGCTACATGAGGTCAGGCTGTGGGCAGTGATACCTGTGCCTGAGGCTGCGAGTAGGCTGGAGGCTCCTCTGTGGGTTTCATGATGGCGGGCTGCGTGTTGATGGTGGGTGCTGCAGTCTTGGGTGTCATACCCGCAGGCGTCTACAGTAGAAAACATATTTATTCAGGGATTTATCATATTTTTCATCAACAATGACGATTATATTCTCATGGTAACCGTCAGGAATGACATGGATCACCTTAGATTTAAAGAGATCCTCTGAATCCTGGGAATGTTTTCAGCAGATTGACATTTGATGTATAAAGCTACTGCCACTGAATGATCTGTAAAAGTACTCACAGGTTTGGCATCTGTGAAGGGATTGTACTCCTCCAGCCCTGGAGTAGCCGTCTGTCGAACCTGTGTAACTGATGGATCCTAAAAAAAAATAAACAGACCTCACTTTAAAAAGATAAACCCAGACTCTATTAGAAATGCTAAAAAAGGCAGCAAATTATTCAAATGTGATTAATAATACTGGCACAAGAACCAGTTTTGATGTCTCTTTTGTAAACAAGGACACCTGTGAAAATCTCTATGCTGAGAGAGAAATGCCCAGTGTGAATGTAAAACCCTTCGTTACTGTGCCAGATCAAGGCCAAACAGCCGTCTTTGTTCAACATGCAACAGGCCTATAATTCAATACTGGCAAAGACAGGATGATTCCAATAATTTTCATGGGAAGACACCTATAAATAGCCACGAGTTTCAGAGGGAAGGAAACGCTTCTGGCTGTTAAAGACAGAAATAAAAAAGGAGACTTTGTGTCTGCACAAAAACCACTAAAGCACTTTGCAGTGATTTGACCAGTCTTTATTTTATAAGAGAAACATATTCAAACAGCCTTGTTCCCAAACACTTTTAGTTTTACTATATTCACCATCATGCACAACTGAAAAAAATCAGCCCACTCACAGTACTCAGGGGCTGTACACATATTTCAGGTAACTGTACTTTATAGATTTAAGGGTATTTTACTTTTCAGTGCACATTTATTTTACAGCTACAAGGACATTTCAGATTTTATTTGATTAATAAACATTTTCTACATTTTCAAGTCTTTGAACAAATTCTACAACTATTAAAATGCCTCCAAGAGGGAAAAGAGCTAATAAATCAGAAGCGAACGAGGATGTTGAGGCAGAAGAGGATTATATTTCAGCGGCGCAAGTAACAGAGATGTTGAGTCAGCAGAAGCAGATGTACACCGCACTGTTGAGCCAACAACAAGACAACTTCAAAGGTTTTGTGCAACTACTTATGGAGACAAATAACAAGAGACTCGACGACATGACCAGAGAAATACAGGAGATAAAAACAAGTTTGCAGTTTACCCAGCGAGATGTGGATGTGATTAAAGCAGCCATGGGTGAACAGAAAATACAAACCAAGGAAACAAGGGATGATGTCTACAAAACTTGTGAGAGTCTAATAGCCATAACGAATAAAATGGAGCATTTGGAAGTACAGTCAAAGTGGAAAAAACCTGATCTTTGAGGGAATCAAGGAGTCAGCTGGAGAAAGCTGGACGGAAGCAGAATGTAAGGTGAAGGAAATATTAAAGAAGAAACTGCAAATTCATCAAGAAATTGAGATGGAGCGAGCTCACAGAGTCGGGAAACCTTCTGATCGGGGACCGAGGGCGGTGATGGTAAAGTTGATGAAAGAGAAAGATAAGGCACACATACTGCAACAAGCAAAGAAGCTTAAAGGATCTAATATTTATATAAATGAAGATTACACCGAGTCTGTGAGGAAGAGAAGAAGGGAGTTGATGCCGAAGTTAAGGGAGGCCAGGGCGAGGGGAGACATCGCGTTCCTCCGGTATGACCGACTAGTGACCCGTCCTCGGAACCA